GGAGTTTTGTTTTTGGGATGAACCAGTTTTTGTCTGAGTGTGTTGCTGGGCTTGGGATGTCATGCTTGGAGAAAACTCCTGAGTTTTTCCGATACACCGGCAAAATAGGGGATGACAATGACAATGTTGTTTCGTTTGTCTTTCAGATCCTCCCTATTTGGTGTCTGATCTTCTTTTCTGTGCATCTTTGCTGACCTGTGAAAGCCCAATTAGGATAACTGCATGTTTTAAGAGCTTCCTTTACATGTAAACTTTCCCCCTGAGATCCCTTCCCAGACGCCTTAACGCCCACTCACCTCCTGGGCCATCTGACCTCAGGAAATCACATGATAGGGTGATTTCCTTGGCTGACTGTGACCTACACCAGTCTATACACCTTGGCTCATGTGATTAGGTAGAGGATCATGAGTTACTCCCACTGGGTTTAAATCTGGGACTCTCCAACATTTGACCTTAGAACTGAAGAAGCGTCTCAGATGAGAGGTGAAGTCCAGACACTTTTCTTTCCAATCTCCTTAGACTATGATGACCTGGATAACTGAGAACCTTCACAGACGGCAGCTTTACTTGCTCAACATTTGATTTTACTCCTGGTTGACTTATCTGCAGCCTTTAATAGTATTAATACTTCTCTTATTAACAGACTACACAACTGAGTTGGCATTACTGGTACTGCTCTCAAATGGTTTTCTTCATACTTGTCCAACAGATACTTCAGAATTTGTATGAATCAGCGTATGTCCTCATCTGCACCCCAAGTCTCAGTCCTTGCACCAGTTTTCTTTATATATGCCACCCCTGAGCGATCGACTTAATCTTTTTAATGGATTTTCATACCATTGCTATGCAGATGACATAGTTTACGTTTATGTCAAACTCAACAACATTAACAGCCTTTCCTGCGGCAGTGACTGCTTCTCTGCCATTACTAATTGGATGTAGTCAAATTTACTTCATCTCAATTTCAGTAAAACTGAGGTTCTAGTACTTGGCCCAGGCAGTTTCTCTAACGAGATGAGTCAGTACATCGGCCCCTTCACTAATGACTTCTAAAACTAAAAACCTTGCTATAATTTTTGACCAACACCTAAATTTTGAAACTCACATCTCAAAGCTCACCTAAACTTGTTCCCTTGACCTCAGGAATATTGCAAAATTCTGTTACTAACACATAACACTCTATATGGTTAGGCCACTGCTTACACAGCAGAGCTTCTGAAACTTGATCACTGAAGGTGAACTTTCCAATCCCCTAACCAGGGCCTTCTTACTGTCCCTCACTTTGATTTTAAAACCAAAGGTGATTGTGCTTTTGGGGTTGTTGCACCCAAACTGTTGAACAGCCTTCCTCTCTCAATCAGCTCTAATTGACTCATTCATTCCTGAGCCTGGAGCAGATCTTGACAAAACAACCTGGCTAGCATGTACCAACATGTTCTCACTCCCAAAGCGTAACATTTTACGCTAGGTGACAAATCGTCAACATATTACATTTTCGGCTACCCACCACGTTCCTAAATGATGACCTCGGAAAAATGAGGAAATATGAGAACCGTCTGGACTAAAACTACACATGTTCGCTCTTTTTCTTCAAATCGCTTAGAAACACGCTATTTAACGTCATTAAAGTCCTGGTTAAGGTCAGGAATAAGGTTATGGTTAGGGCTAGGGATAAGGTTAGGTTTAGGTCTGGAATACAGGGCTGGAACGTCTATTACCGCAGGAGCGTCATTGCACTGGATTTCAGCCATAACCCGCCGCGTACCATAAGAACGCAGAAGGTCTCCTTTCGCGTTCCTCAGGAACGCCGCGGGACGTGACAAAACGTCGGCATGTTACGCCTCGGGAGTGAGAACGGGCTGCATGTACAGAGACCGGGCCACAACATCTTTGGAATGAATAGAAGCAACTAGGTCTTGTCACTCAACATCACCTGGGACCTCAATAATACACTTGTACCTGCAGTTTGCACCCAGACGGCATGGCAATGGATGGCAAATGCAGTTTGTAGCCGGACGTAACAATCTGATGGAAAGCCTAGAATCAAGAGTGGAGGCTTTTCCAGCAGCAGATTAGTGCCCATAGTTTAGCATGAGAAAGTTAATGTCCACATACTTTGTTCATAACGTTTCAAACTTTAGTCAACATAGACTATGTTAAGGTAAATACTAAAAAATGTTTAATATTTAAATATTGCTGGTAGGTAGGATCATTGATCTAGTATTAAAGTTAATCATTTAAAGTAAAAAAGTTAAAAGGAATATTTAAATAAAGCACAGATAGCTGAAAATAAAATAATAGGTACAGTAAAAAGTATTTGTACTTCCCACCTTTTTCTTCCTCCAAGTCTTCAGAGCGGACTGTATCCACTTCCTTTTTCCGTCTCCAACGAATGGATTCTCTCAGTCTATTAAACTTATTATCAAACTTACTGGGTTCTAAAAAAGAAAAGCACACAGTTTAATGTAGTTTTAATAACAGACTGGAGGCATTAATTTCTGGTCTTTTGTTTTCTCCACTTTCAACAAACAAAAATCAGCAGTGCTTTTTGTTCTGAACTCAGTGTCATAAAATTATTGTTGTGTTCTTGTCCACTATAATGACCAGGGCATTACAGGGAACATTTTAATAAATGTTTTACAGAGAAAAAATCATTTGCAAGTGTGCAGATCTTAGCTGCTTTGGCTTGTTCTTTCACGACTGCATGATCTTAAATATGAAAGCTGATAATGGTGATTTTTAGGAGTTTTAATAGTAAGGACAGGGGTAACAATCCATGAATTAATGATGTACATTTAGTTGTACATCAAGTCCAAAGTGTCACATATAAATGAATACAGGCATTTAATAATTCCTGAGCCTTGAGCAGTTCTGGAAGCAGGAGTGGTGACTTTTCCAGCAGCAGATTAGTGCCCATTGAGTGCCCCTCCATCAATTGCTACTCTGGTGGAGGGGTTTGTGTGTTCCAGAGATCGCAGGGGCTATAATGTTGGGGGGTTTTGTCCCCTGGTAGAGTTTCGCATGGCAAATTGGTCTTGGGTGAGGCACCAGACAAAGAGAAATCCAAAAACCCATATAAGAAGAAGATCCAGGGAATAGCATGGATTCCCAGCATAGGGTTACCGGGGCTCTGCTCTGGAGCCAGGGTGCTCCAAATGACAGTTAAAGGTACCAGGCCTTCCTGGAATTCCTGAATAGGGCGCATGATGGTGCTCCAGCTGTGTTCTCTTACTGGGAGACTTCAACGCTCATGTGGGCAATGACAGTGACACCTGGAACGGTGTGATTGGGAGGAACAGCCTGCCAGATCTGAACCCGAGCAGTGTTCTGTTACTGGACTGTGCCAAACCAAAAAACACAAACCACAACAAACACCATGTTTGAACATAAGGATGTCCATAAGTGCACGTGGCACCAGGACACCCAAGGCACAGGCTGATTTTGTAATTGTATCATTAGATCTGCAGCCATACGTTGTGGACAGGTGAGTGTCCAGTTGAGCTGTCCACTGATACCATCCTGGCTGTGAGATGGATTAGGAGGTGGGCAAGGATAGTGAGGGAGAGCTGGGAATGCCTGGAAGAGGCAACCATCTGCAAGATCTTCAACTCCCACCTCAGACAGAGCTTCGACAGCATTCCAAGGAGACAGCAGGGGCTGGGTCCTGCAGGATGTGCTCCAACTGTAGGGGGATCATACTCCTCAGCCTTCCTGGGAAAGTGTATGCCAGGGTGCTGAGTGAGGGGAGTGGGAGATCAACAGACGGATTGGTGCTGTGGCTGCAATGATGCAAATGCTGTACCAGTCCGTCGTGGTGAAGAGAAAACTGAGCGTAAAAAGCGAAGCTTTCAATTGATCTTCTTTCCCACCCTCACTTGTGGTCAACAGTCTTGGGTAGTCACCGAAAGAACGAGGTTGCAGATACAAATGAGCTTTCTCCAAAGGATGGCTGGCCTCTCCCTTAGAGATAGGGTAAGGCATTCAGCCATCCAGGAGGGGCTCAGAGTAGAGTCGCTGCTCCTCCACATCAAAAGGAGCCAGTTGAGGTGGTTTGGGCATCTGACAAGGATGCCTCCTGGGCACCTCCTGGGTGAGATGTTCTGGACATGTTGGACTGGGAGGAGGCCCCTCTATATCTCGGCTGGCCTGGGAACGCCTTGGTGTCCCCCCGGACAAGCAAGAGGAGGTGGCTGGAGAGAAGGAGGTCTGGGCTTCTCTGCTAAGGCTGCTGCCCCCACAACCTGGCCCCGAATAGGCAGGGGAAGATGGATGGATGGCTGTATGGATCTCTGCATATTTAGTTAGAAGTTAGTTAGAAGTTTCACCTGGTTTTGATCGTGTTAGTGGTCTGAATTTTTTCTGGTTGCTCTTCAGAGAGATGGATGCAGAACCAGCACTCAGACCTGACAGAGAGGGAGGAAGAGCACATTAGTAGAAGCTGGATTTTCTGTTAAACTGACTGTTTAGTCCCTACTTTCAAAAATACATTTGTCTTTGCCGTGTCACAGCGATACGAAACCAACTCTGAAGTTTATTTTCCTTTTTACACTGGCTTCCTGTCAGTCAGAGGATAGACTTTAAAGTTCTGATGCTGGTCTAAAAAGCTCTGAATGGTTTAGGACCAAAATACATCAGTGACCTCCTAACCCAGTATGAACCTTCCAGATCCCTCAGGTCATCTGGATCCTGTTTTTTATCAGTTCCCAGAGTCAGAACCAGACACGGAGAAGCTGCATTCAGCTTTTATGCTCCATATATCTGGAACAAACTCCCAGAAAGCCTCAGATCAGCTGAAACACTCAGTTTATTTAAATCCAGGTTGAAGACTCACCTGTTCTCAGCTGCATTTGAATAAAACACCAAATCCACACTTTTAAGCTTAAATTTCAAAACTTACATTTTAACTACTGATTTTATCTACTGTTTTTTTTTTATTATTATTATTTTAAAATCAATTTTAAATCATGCTTTTTATTTGTTTTTGTTTTTTAATGTCTCTGTAAAGCACTTTGAATCACCTTGTTGTTGAATTGTGCTATATAAATAAACTTGCCTTGCCTTACGTGGGTGTTTGTGTGTCCATGGCTTTGAGATTGCTTTGTATTATACAAACTGAAGAATGCAAAGTTTAAGTCATGTTGGAACAGAACAGGCTGGTGCAGCACAGCGCCAGCACCTAAAAGTGAAACAGTCTGACCTCATTTCTAATCAGATGATGATTTAGAGTCAGTCACATGACTTGTGGTAAATTACCTTAATTACCTAATGTATACAATTGAAATGTATAACTGTATCTTTGATAGAGGCTGAGAAGCTTAGCATCGGAAATTAAACACTGGGTAAAATTTTGCTGTAGTGTCTTTATGTTCCACTATGATGTGTCTTAAATGGTGTTGTTTTGATTTGATGCTTTTCCTGTATGACATTATCAGTCCCCCATCACTGTGGAGGAATTTTGCCCCAGTCTTCTTTACAATGATGCTCTCTACAGGTCCTGCCACAGGATTCAAGCTCTGGACTTTTTCTGGGATGATTCAAGTCATTGATTGTCGCCTTTCTGCAGTCTGCAGTGCATGAGATCATTGTCCTATTGCATGACAAACTTTGGGCCAAAAGATGGTTTCACATTTGACTGTAGAATACTGAAAAGTCTTGACATGCTCCACTGCAAACAGAAGTGGACAATGGTTTTTGCTGCTTATTTATTCTAAAGGCTACACAAAAATAAGAAGATGGTAATTTACTCTTAATGAGGGGGAAAAAAATCACATTTTTATGGAATATAATAGACATTAATTTCTGGGATAAAGAGCAATGTGCTTACATCTTCCATTTTTTTGTATTTAAAGTCTGAGGTGAGTTTTTTTGTATGTTTACCAGCACCAGAGGAAAGTTTGTCTGCTTATGTATGACCCAGGCATTCCTTCATTTAGCAAACGGACATGTTCCAACAACTTTATCAGTCTTTTTGTGTTTCGTTTGATTTTTCTACCTCGGCCAAGGAGATTATGTCTTTGATAGTGTTTGTGTGCATGTATGCACGTAATTCTGTCTGCAAACATAGTTGCTTCAAAAGTTTGGGATGAATTCTGAAACTGTAGACCGAGGTCATGTTAACTATTCATTAAAATTTACCTTACATCCACTGAGATCTTCAATATTAACTTAATGTGTGTTTATTTGTCAGAAATTGACATAAAAGCTTAGAAACTATGATTTTTAGTCTTGTGTGCATTGTTTCTCACTGCCAGTGTTTGTACTGACAACATAAAGGTATATAGACGATGATATATATGGGCAAGGTAAATATGACATCTCAATTTGCATACAAATATCATGTTTTTCAAGTTAATCCTAAAATGCATTATATCTTTAAAGGAAGTTTCATCAATAGAAAGAGAATGAGCTGCTAGTTAATTAGAAATACGGGTGGGTTTAAAAAAAACAATTTCCAAATTCAAATTGATTTTAATTCAAATAATCTGATATTAATACTTTAAATCCTGAAACTGTTTTTTAAATATGGATTTCAACAACCACAAAACAGATAAAACTCCAAACAGTTAAAGAGCAGGTAAACAGATTCAGCAACGAGATGTAAAACAAAGCGTGGATCTTTCTCAGTGTACTTTGAGACCAATTTCCCACCAGAAATCTTTATTTTCTGCCTCATTGGCTTGCTTATTATGCACCGGTCTAAAGCGGTGTACAGTGTAGTCCGACGCTTTTCTTTTTTTTCTCCAAAAAATCCTCCGTCAAGAAAGTTCAGGAAAGGGACTTTCTAATAGTGTCACAATTGTCAGCTTTATTTTTATACTTAAAGAGTTTACACTGAATTTTTAATTGTAGCGAAAAAGTTAGTTCACTTTGTGTATGTCATGGCAACAGGATGAATACAAAGTAACTACTTTAGGATCTGTTCATAATTTGGAAATATTTTTAATTTACAAGGTTTAGAAGGTTTTGACAGTACATAACCAAGACAAATGATCATAAACTTGCATTTGCAGAAATCACTGACAATACCGAGTCTTATTTAGAAATAGTATAATATTATATAATTAGCTAAAGTTAATCATGTCCAGTTATTACAGATAAATATCTATTACCCATTACCTGCTCCTACATAATGTTTGTGTCAAAGTAAATCTGTCATCTTCATCTGATTTTTACTGCACTACAAATTTCCTGTAGGACATTTAAAAAGAACAAAATAAAACTAAATAAATATATACAAATTACAATACTGTTCCCTTAAAAGTAAACAGAGTGAGCTGCCGTGGTGGAGCTTTGTCAATGCATTTCTCCTATAATCTAACATCACCGTTAATGTCTTGGACAGGGGGGACACATTTCTGCACTTACAGTTTCTAAATGTAATGGTGCCTGCCTTCTGTCAGCTTGATAGATTTCTTTTTTTGCTCTTTCTGCACTTTCCCCACACAACTTCTCCTTCCACCTGCACATACGTGTGTACAATAGCACCCACATCTCAGAGGAATGACTTCACACGGGCTTTCATGTGGGTCCTCTAGGGAAATATATGCAACCCTCACTCTCAAAAAGCTGGGAAACACTCATAATGTAAATGAAGATTTTAGGCATAGAACATAGAAGACACATCAAATGTAAGCACTGATGGCTAGCTTGCCATCAGTGCTTACATTTGAAAGCAGATTTTATAAAGACCCCAACGGTACTCACTGGGTGACGGAGGATTCTTCCGTGTTGGAAGCCGGAGGCTCTTTCTAAACTTCACCATCATGCCCACATTTATGCCACCATCAGTCGACGTCTTCTCATCGCGCTTGATGGATTTGTTTCTCTTGGTGGACACCGTGTCATTGCCGGGGTTCTCAGTGGACTTGTCCATCATTTGTGACATGTTATTTCATTATCTACCCAAAATGTCAGAAAGAATACAAAAGAAATGTTTAAAGACAAAGTTTGTTAAATTTTAAGTAACCAGTCTGTTTGGAAAACGTAAGGTTGAGAGCAGGAGCACAGATGTTCATGTTAAAATTTAGGCACTAAAAGTAAAAAGTAATAAATACTCAAATAAAGTAATGAAGTATTTGTATTTTGTTACTTCCGATCTCTGGATTTCAATAATAATTAAGTGAATAAGATCTTACATAATAAAACCTGTATAAGTACTGTATAAAGAACCAATTCATTGTGGCTTTCACCAGGATCATCCTAAAGCTATATTACAGATAACATTTTATATCGGATAGATTGAAGTAGAAAAACAGAGAGCAACATGTTGTTTGTAATTTGGGAACATTTCCTCTCATCTCTTTGGTCCTGGACTTTAAATATATTGTTTATCTGCTGTTGATCGTTTTTAGGCCTCGCAAAACTTCAATTTGTCCGGTTTACTAAATATTTCAAGGACATGCTGCACACCGTGCTGAGATAAGAAATTAGATGTCGCTGAACACAAATGTGTATGTGTGTGTGTGTGTGTGTGTGTGTGTGTGTGTGTGTGTGTGTAGAGAGAGAGACAGCAGAGTGATTTCTCTCGCAGTTTTATTTTCAAGATTAATATTCAGTCCGTGTATGCAAACCGCAGCTAGTTACAGTAAAGAGAAAAGATGTACTTACCTCCGGTTTCACACAGATGATAGAACTTCCACCGTTTCTTCCCGCTTCACCTGCTTTTGGCTTAGTTGAGGGTTGGCAAGAGGGTGTGACCGGGGCGCGCGATGGGGGCGCATTTACAATGGGCAAGTTACTTTCTCTGAGAAAGCCATATAAGAGTAAGCGTTTACAGAGCAGACGCACAAACGAGGGGTGAAAGCAAGCGTGTCACTTTCCCAGAAATTTCCCAGCTTCCCATCATCCAGTCTAAGCTGTTTAGAGTCTATTCTAGAGCCAAAGCACCTTACATGATTGCTTTGTGAACGTCGCATCTCGTGTCATGGTTAAACACACAGCTAGATTATTTGTTTTTATTGGCCGATGTTTTCATTTTTGTTTTTTTGGAACGGTATAAACAATGAAAGGTGGTGGATTGGCCAATTGGTCTTGATGACATGGGCTAGACCCCCCCCCTTGCTTTGGCAACGCTCTGAAAGCTATCTTATGGCAGAAAAAGAGAAGAAAATGGTATTGAGGAGAAAGGGAACGTGATTTGTCCGGTACTTCAGCTAGACGGTAAAAAAAAAAAACATAGACACAAAGCTGGATTTATTCTGCGTCTTTACGCTGTCAGCTGTCTCTTCTTGTCCCATTCTCTCCCCTCTCTCTCCTGTTGCTACTTCACTTCACTGATCAATGATCAGCTGATCGGCTTTTCTGTCGCAAGTCCAGTCTCTCGTTTGTTTATCGCCCACTTTGCGCCAGAAAGAGGAAACCATCGGATGTCGACGTTTAAGCTTGATAAGCTGTTGTTAGAATTTATTTAATATTGATTTCTAGTATCAGCTGATTTTTGCTGGAGCCACAGCCGTAAAAGCTGCTGGTCATGATGTCGGTTTGGATATGTGGTGAGAGGGAAACATGAAGATGAAACCAGGAGATGTCCTTACTGAATCATCAGAGCTGAACAGGTGATGGAGAAACAGGTTTACCTTTTAGGTGACATGGATGAGTTGAAGGGAAGTTATGAACTGTTTCTGAGAGACAAATAACACCAGCATCCTTTTCTAAGTAGCTGACAGCTGGTAACTGTGCAGGGGCGGGTCTAGCAAAGGTTTGCCAGGGGGCAGGTAGGGCATTAACGGGGAAAGGGGGGCACAAAGAAATACTTTCTTATTCTCATTTAAAATGTCTGGCTGTTATTAAATAATTATCTGAATCTTACAACCAAAATGTTTATCTGATGTAAAATGTATAGAAATCATACATATACCAACAACACTGTACATCACTGTCACAACAGCGTTCGTTTTCATTCAAAGACTTTATGGCTCTTCCTATGATACCTGGTGGGTCGGTCACTAGTCAAAATGCCCGGGCTGATTTTTCTTGTCCCAGTTCAGCCCTGGTCAAATGTATACTTTACAGGTGAAGAAACAAGCTCTCATATTGTTGTTTCGATTTCTATGTTAGGCAGGTAAATAAACAAAAGTTGTAATAAAACCAAATCCAACGTGACATCAGGACATGTATGTCCACTAGAGGGGGTTGTGTGCTGTAGTTGTGTGTGCAGGGGTTTAGTCCTTGTCCATACCTTTTTGGGAAAAAAAAGTTGAATTGCCTTTTTTAAATAAGATGATAGAAATATTTGAGATTTGTTTCCAAGTGCTGTTTTATGCACATCGTTACAGATATTTGCTTCAATAAAAGAAGACATTTCCAGTCCAAATAAATGACCAAATGTGAGTGGATTAGGCTGATAGTGCTTAGTGGATATAGTGGCTTTTTATTAGTATTATAAAATATGCATTTCAGTTACACAATGTTTACATTTTCTTAGCTACAATCACAAAAAGTGAAAAAAAAAATCCAAACATTTGAATCAACTTATACAAAACACATAATAATGATAATAATAATAATAATACACATAAAAATAAGTTTACCTGAGAAATGAATTGACTTTCACAGTTATGTCTGGTTTCCTGTACAAAATGACAAACATCTAATGTTATTTATTTGATGTGAAATATGTCATTTTTCTTTGTCTGATGTCAAACGCAACAAACATGAGAGGACAAAGGTGATATTTTTAAACAGTGTGTTTGTTACGGTTCTGGGTCAGTGTTGACCCAGCATTTTGAGTTTCTTATATTTTGGTTTATTTTTGCATTATGGATTGTTTTCTGATGTTCTGGTGCTTTGTTTATTATTGTTATTATCATTATAGATCTGTTTCTGTTATTCTTGGTGAGGGATCAGTTCTTAGGTTTTGGGTTCTCATGTGTATTGCAGTTTCTGTTCAGTGTCTAGTCTGTCTCTCAGTGTCGTGTCTGCATCTTTGTTTAGTGGTTTCTTGTTTCCTATTTTATTGTGAAAGTCTTTGTCTTATGTTAGTGTGTGCAGCTTAGCTCCCCCTGTCTCGTTAGCCCTGATCTCTCCCAGCTGTGTCTCCCTCCTGTTACCCATTCCCTGATTACCACCCTGTGTATATTAGCCCTGTGTTGTCCTCAACCCAGTGTCGCGTCGTACCATCAGATTATGCCTGTGTGGTTTTTGGTCTCAGTGTTCAGTCTTCACTTCATGTTTTGTTTTCATGCCAGCAATAAAGCTGAGGTTTTGAGTTGCATTCCGTTTTCCGAGTTCTGCATTTGGATCCTCATCTCCGCCTGCCCGCACACAGAGCCCTGACAGTGTTTTACTACTTCACTGTAAACACGATATTGCCATTTATCTTCTGGTACATATACAAGAATAAAGAATTATTCTATACTAACTTGCACAAACCAAGAAACAAACATAAATCACTGCAGAAATTCTGACTTCTTTCAGTGGATGTGTACATTTTTTAAAAGCAGTACCTTAAAGTATTCAGATCTATTCTGTTCTATTCTATTATTATTTACAAAACCGAGGAAAACTATTGGATAATATCAACATGAAAACCTCACTATTTACCTAAAGGTTACATGTGAAACAATATTCCAGCGCTTCCGAGTATTATTTATCCATGTTGTTACAAGACTTGGTCTCGTTATTTCAGCAGTATACAACAAGGTTTATAACAAGGTGCAAACATGAGGTTACACTGAAGAACAAGAAGGTCAGATTAGATTTGCCAGAAAACATCTAAAAGACCTCGCACAGGTTTCGAAAAAACTATCTTTGAAAAGATGAAACCAAGATTAACTTGTATCAGAAACATGGGAAAGTGAAAGTCTGCATCATCTGTGAAACATGGTGGAGACAATGAGCCTCATTTACTAATACACGGACTTATACACTAATACGCAAGTAGTCCACACAGAAAAATTACTGTTAAATTTGTGAAATGTTGCGTGCCAGCCTATTTTGTTATCACCACAGTTCGTATGTTAGTAAATCAAAAGTATTCGGAACCAACATGCACATTTCCTCACCCCCATTTCTCTGTGTACAAAACTAACTTTACCTCCAAGTGAAGCAGAGCACGTGGTGACGATGTTTTAAGAGAGAAGCCTGCACCTCTAAGACAAGAGTTTAGGAGAAAGTTTGACTGTAGAAAATAGAATAACAGTGTCTGAGGTCCAAAGAGGAAGTGTTTCCACATAAGTGATGGTCATCCAAAAATGAGAAATTACTAAATGAAAAAAAAAAAAACACCTGATACTCACTGTGTCAAACACTAACAGACAACAAGACAAAAACATGGAGAATTGTCCATGGCATTCACTTTGAACATCTTTACAGACAGACTGAAAACACTTCAACTTATCTACCAAACAATATAAGACAGATGCTCTGCAACCCAACTCTCAGTCAGTGATATTCTGAAAAGCAAATCAACTGCCCGTCACTTCAACTTTGGAGAAAAACGCCCGGGTTTCAGCATTAGTATGGCTTTCTTTCAGTATGTCCAGCACTGTGCTTTTGATAGTTTTCTTGTCGGCTTTGGAGAGGTTTGCTTTGAGTTTAAGCAGAGCTGAAACATGTTTTTCACTGTTGGTGACAGAAAGAAGAAAATGTTAAAAAAATATATATATAAAAAGATGTCATGCCAAGTATTTTATGATTATGTTTATATGCTGTTTGTCATTACAGAATGAGATAATGAGAAAAAAAACTGTCAGGTGAAGAAAGTCATATATGACAGTAAGATGCAAACAAATGATGATGGTGATGTTTCAGCCTACCTTAGATTACATGAATGTGCAAAATCACCCCATTAATGCCACATGATATTAACAATGTTAATAAGTAAAAAAAAAAAAGATTCTGCAACATTTTTTTAAACTTTCAACACAAGGCTTACAAGTTCAATCATTTCTTTAAACTTGTAGTCCAAGACTGCAGGTCTCAAATCAAACAGCTGATCTGCTGATCTGTATTATTGAACCTGTTATGTCTTTTTCAGTGTGTAACCGGTTTCCTGCCCCTGACACACATCTTTCCTGCAAACATTAACAGCTGTACGTAATACATCACCACACCAACTACTGGAAAAAGTGTCAATTTCTGTTTTAAATGCAACAATAGAACTCCTATTGGTGACACTGATATGTGTCTAAATTTACATTATTCTCCGAGTTTCCACTAGTTTTACCAAATAACTCCCCATGAAATCACACACTTCCGTGGTGCTGATACTTTCAGACACACAGACAGTCTATATGTGAGTGTTATCAACAGCAGTGTTTATGTC